GGGCATTAGATATTTTTATAATTATAGGCATTTTCATAAACACAATAATGTGATACATACGCAATATATTTTTGTATACATTGCGTATGTATCATTAAGGAAATTTTATTGAAATTATGTTTTCTTACCTTAATTGACCTTCAAGCGGATCAGACTCAGATATTATAAAAATGTAATATCAAACTGCAAAGACTTGTTAAAAAAAAAGTACTGCTAATTAAACGGCACTGTTAATGTAAATATTTTTGTGATAGTTTAGCAATGTTTATGAACAAACTTGATTAGCAACATTTGTTTATGAATATAAATATAGCGCAGTTTTTACTATATATCGCAATATACTGTCTTTATGAAAAGACCTCATTCAACCAGAGGTGTAACATGAAAGTGAGGCATTCTATATTGAATAATTTAGAAAGTTTGTAAACAGACGAACAGACATAGTAAATTTGCAGCTATATTATTAATGTTCATAAATACAAAAATAAATGTTGCATTAGTTAATAAACATTGCTAATTGATGTTTTTTTTGCTAAATTATTACGAGTATTAGTAAAGTCATATATGAACTGTTTTGATTTTATAGAATAATTTAAAATATATTGCATATTCATTACGTTGACAACGTTTTTACAATATTACGTTTTGCAGTTATACTTTTGCAATATTGCGTCATGGAATAATAATTTAATGCTATCTAGAAATTTTCAATTTCAATTGCAATAATTTTCCTATATTTACACTCTTTAAAATTTAATATTTTGGGTTTCTTGTAATAATAATTAAGTAAACTTACAAAACAGTGTAACCGCACTCGTTCCTACTTACGCTATTCTTAATATGCATAAATGCAGTATAACTATGCACTTATTAAAATTTTAATATTTAATATAAAAATTTACTTGTTAAGCTCTAAATATTTATTAAAATTACCGTAATTTAAATACTTTAGATTTATTTCCTTATATTATTTTTTACGTATACCTTCATAATGAAGGTATACATAAAATGAAGTGTACATTAAATTATTAAACAAAATAATATTTTCTTTTCAATTATGCTTTTGTATATAATAAAATCAACAAAATGAAATTCTTAACAAAAAATCTCATGATATTTTAAATCTATTGAGTATCGCAATAACTTTCTAATTTTTCTTTATATTTCTTATAAAAAAATGTTAAAAATATGAATGAACTTACAAAATTTAAATATTGTATTAGAAAAAAATAACATTATAAAATGAAAATGAATTAGATTTTCACATAAACTTCTTCTTAATGAATTAGTAAACATTAATAAGTTTTTAAAAATGGGAAAAAATAAATAAGAAGTACAAAAAGTAGCCATTAGAAGTGCATAATTTATAAAATGAGTCTATCATATCACATACTTATTACATAACTCAATTATCTTCACATTTATAACCTAACACCATAATAACTAACTTGTACTCGTATACATATATTATCACCTTAAGATTTAATACATATGTATGTATGTATGTACACTAAACGACAATAAAATGGGAAAGGTTTATACAGTACAACTTGAATGCACAGTTGTAGTATGTTCAAACTTTCAAAATTCTGTTTATTGGTTTACATAAAGTTTTTGAACGTGTTTCTCGTAATAGAATAAAGACGCGGCTCCTATTTCTATTATTCTCCGTAATTATAGATCAGAATTTTCTTGTATATATTATGTAAAGATCTCAATCCCAGTTTGCATATAAATATTAAAAGCTATGAAAAATAAATATTTAGAAAGGTGCAATATTCACACACTTGTCGATCTTTTGATGCGTCGATCAAATTTGATTTAATATAGATAAAGAACTGGTTAACCCATCAAAAGTAAGTAGACATTTAATAGTGTTTAATGATAATTACCCTTTCAACCATAAATATTTTATCTTTTCGAATAAAATTGAAAACACTGCTGTGAATTCAAGTTAGTAACTTCCTTTAACTAGTAAACTACATCTTTCCGGCACAATTTTTTATAAATTTAATTAATAAAAGAGTAAAATTTTCAAAAGCTAACTATAAAATCTTTCAGTCTCGTTATAAAAACAAATTCTAAAAATTTTCGCCAATTCAATTCGAAAATTTAAATTTGAATAACTTTGAAGCCTTAAAAATAGAATTACTGCAAAATTATATTTTGTAACATACAACAATAATTTTTTCAAGCGATGATAAACAATTGTAATACGAAATCAGATAACAGTTAGGTATCTGATAAATCAGTTGCATGCACTTAAGTGTAAATAATGTACACATACATATATACATAATATAGGAAATAAAGTAACATGCTCATTATACATTCGTATATGTACATACATTTGGAACTCTCATAGATATTTTTAATATTGTTAATCTACATTTAGCACATTAGGAAATGTGGGAAAAGAATATTACACTAATATTAATTGTTCAAATATAAAAAAAAAATTTTTTTATAAAATGTTTGAATTTTTTTTTTTTATATATATAATATGCAGAAATATTTTTGAATTCATTGACACATCCATTTAAATAAATCTATAATAAATTTAAATATTAATGACCGCATGTATAAATATTAAAATACAATGATGGTAATTGCAGCATAACGAAAAATTCCCATCTAATATGTGTTTGCACATTAATATTAATAGAATTAATAGTTTTAAAGGGGGAATTAATAAAGGTGTAACGTATAGGAATATAAGGAAATAAATTTATAAATTTCAAGTTATCAAATGTTATGTAACTTATAGTAAACTATATAGGTTAAATCGTACGAGTACTTCTTTGATTTAAATTTAAAGAAAATCATTGATTCAACTATAGAAAACCACCAAATTTCTATAACGTATCGATATGGTAATGAACCATGATCGAGCTAATTTGAGTAATATACTGAATTTAGAGCACGCTTTTAAGTTAGCGTTTTCTATTTTAAAAAATTTAAAATAGAAAACCGTAATAATGCTAGAAGCCGTTCTGAAATAGTTTTCAGAACGGCTTCTAGCATTATTGAAACATATTGCACTCAATGCGTTTTACGTATCCTAACTCTTTACAATGTAAATTATTATTAATGTAATAACAATGTATGTAAGTGAACCTCATGATTCTCTTATAATAACTTTACTGTATTCAATTAATGCACTTGATTTAAACTTTTAATCTTGAAATCAATCAAAAGCTTTTTGAAATTTGTTAAAAGGCTCGGTTATATGATCAAGTTGACCACGGCTTTAAAATAGAACCAAAATTATTCGTTGTTGTAATAAATCCTACAAAAATTTAATAAAATCTTACAAAAGTTTATTACAAAAGCATTCCAATTTTGGAGACAGCAAAAAAAAAATATGTTACATAAGTCAATCTCATTAAAAATTGTTTCTTAAAAGGCATAAATGCCATAATTTTCTAATAATCACCTAAGTGCAGGTTGCAATAGAAATTTGAGACTGATTATTTTTTAAATTCCAAACGTATTATGAAAATAATCTTGGTATATCAATAAAAACAACTCAGTTACAAGTGTTTAATGCATTAACTTACTTATTTTCACTATGAAATTCTTATATTATGAAGAATTATTTAATCAACCTAAAAATACTTCATTTTTAATTGATTCAGTAAGGTTTTTTTGCTTTAGTCTTGGAAAACAACGTAAATATTTGTCTGTCGTGTAATAAATTTAATGTAATTAAAGACTAGAAAGAAAATTAATACTTTTTCCTTTCTTTTTTTTTTTTGCTATTAAATAGTAAGAAAAACTGAAAAACTTTCTCTTACTAAAAGTTTATCACGTCTATTAAGACATTTGTCATGTCTACTAGGATATTTCTGATATTCAACAAAAAAAAAAAAATACTTTAATACGCAAAGTAAGCAAATTATTATAAAAATTCCTAAATCTCATAAAGGTAATATTGTTGATTCACTTTAAATTCCAGAAATTTTTTTAATCATATGCCACTTTTTTATAGTAATTGAATTAAATTGTTAATAGGTTGGCACTTAATTAAAAATTTTTAATTTATTTTAAAATCTCCATTTGCTATTCTGAACACAAATGATATAAAATTATTTTTTATTCAGAGCTTTAGGAATTTGTACTTTAGAAAAGGCCAAATTTTAAAAACTATCTTTTACAATAATAATAATTACTTGCAAAAACTAAATCGATATTTGAAAAAAATGTTGATTTTTCATATTTGTTAATTGTCATTTAAGATTTATTAATAAGAGTTAATATTTTTTAACTTTCAACATGTAGTCTATATTGAAAGATTGTAAGATTTTTTAAATTGGTACTATGACCTAACAATATTAGATTTAAGAATATTAGAACTACAATTATTTATTCCCACTTTCCTTAACTTAAAAATTAAAAGAAAATTTCTAGAAAGAAGTACTTTATTTAGTAAATCTAAATAAGTAAAGTAATTATCTAGAAATTTTATCCTAAGAGTTTCAAAATGATTATAAGCACATTGAATATCTGAAAAACATATTTAATAATTTAATAAAATTTCATTTGAATTATTGCGCTTACGAGATATTTTGCAAATAAATAGAGATTAAGAATCTTACAAATCAAATAAGTTCCTTAGCAATTACCGATACATATATGTACTGAATCTTCAAAAAAGTTTTAGATATTTGCGACATTTATAAATTTCAAGAATTGCAGTATAATGCAATATTATAAATTAAATAAACAATTATAAATTTGTGTGAGCAATTTAAAAATTTTTAAAGTGAATAGTTATTCAATAAAACAATCACTGTTACATTTTATTCAGTAAAATTTTCCTAATACCTCTTAATTTACAAGAGATTTTAAATAACGTTAACATGTTTTTTATTGACTTTGATCAAATTTTCATCCTTGTACAAATATCTATCTAACAACACTAATAATCTCACATCTTATATCACTATATTATTTAGCTGCATTTTTATGTATTAATAAATCGTAAATGAAATTATAGATTATCAATTAAATGCGTTTATTTTTAAAATTTCAAATAAAATTTATAGAACTATTTATAGAATACAGTTTCTATCTTAAACCAATTACAACAATAAAGTAATAATTTCATCAAAGCATAGTAAAATAAATTATGCCAAAAAAGTATTTCAACATTATCCATGAAATGATTCAAAGATAAAATATATATTAAAAATAGTACTTTAAATTCTATACAAATAAATTTTATTTACAGCTTTATTTTGTCATTCTTCATTCATTTTTTTGCTAGTCCAACATCAACAGAAGGTTCTCTTACAAGAGCAGAACATTCTTTAAATTTTTCATGATTTTTGTCGACCATTAAACTAAAAATTACACTTTCACTTGTTGTTATAAAACAGCCATATTGTCGCATTCTCTCTATTGCTAGATCACGATCTTGTAAAATTCTAGACATAACACAATCAGCAACAAGATGAACATTATATCCATTCTCTAATAAATCCAACGTTGTTTGTTCAACACAAATGTGAGCCTACAATAATATTTTGTTAATATTTAAAAAAAAAATTTATAAAGAATTTCATTTTACTTCAAGTCCAAACAGAACAATGTTTTTAACATTTCCAATTTCTTTTAAATTTTTCTCTAATTCAGGAATATACATACTAAACTTGGTTTTAGGAAGAACACATTTTGCATGGCTAACATCTATTTCATCAACAATATGTCCAAGTGCTTTAGGATAATGTTCAGTTGCTAATAATGGAACATTGAGGATTTTTCCGGCTTTAACCTTAAATTGAAAAATTTCTTTACAAAAAATTTTTAATCAATGTGGAAAAAAAATATGAATCTACCAATTTGTTAGAATTCACAACAAACGGATCAAAAAATTTCATTGATGGCCGAAATTTCGTTTGTATATCTGCAAATAGTCAAAAAGAATTTTTTGAAAACTATGTTACTACATACATATATACATATTATAATGTATTGTAGTTTTATATTTATTTTAGTTTTTATCATAATTTGATTTCTAATATTAAAATTTCTTTCAGGAAGTTTTTATACTCTTTCTTTATATAGTCTAAACTAATTTTAAATTGTTTCTGTACATGTATGTACATCTATTATTAACACAACCGCATGCAACCTTATTGGCAATATACATATATAGTTATTTATATAAGGAATTGTAGAATTGCTCTAAAGATAACAATTCAACAGGTTTATATTGATCTAAACAAGTTTTTCTGTGTAATTATGAGAAAATAAATGGGCAAAGATGAAACGCTCTTTGTTTTTACATTAAAAGTGAAATACGTAACAATATTTGATAAGTAGATATGTAGGTGCCTTCCTATCTAATTAAAAAAATTAGAACGTCATAATGGATATACAAATACGATAAAAAACTTAATTATATTCAACTCGTACATTTAGACAAGAAATGTATGTTTATTTGCATATGAAACACAAATGGTTAGATGAAATTATGTATTACGTGGAAAAAACTTCTAAATTAAAAATATATGTATGTTTGCATTTTCCGGGAAAGCACATAATAAAGAAAATCTATAAATTTTTACTACCACGAAAGGTTACATGGACCGAGATAAATTCCAATTTACTAAAAATAATATGCCTAAATTAAAACAAAATAGTATTAAATTTAAATTCTTAAATATAATATAAAACTTATTACCTACCACAAAGTAAAAATGATGTATTCTTCAAATCTAATTTAGCAAATCGGGCAGCCATTATCCTTAAAACGATTAACACACAAGCGATTAAAATTTAAAAACAAAAAAAAAATATATTTTTACACTTAAATTAAATGAAAACTAAAAATAACAAAAAAAAAATTTATGCAGTTGAAACAAGCCAGACTTTTTGACTTCACTCAACCCAATATGGATAATTGGATATTATCAAATTACTTTACTATCATACAACACAGCTGATATAACAACAATATGACCTTGGTATATAATTTTGTTGTCACAACAATTAAATGTCAGTTTATTTTGTTGTCAAAAGTTTAATTAAAATACCGATTGTCAAAACAATATAATGTTATGAGAAAAATTTTTCAAATTATTAATATTTCATATAAATATTTTTAATTAATTAAAATTTCCTTTAGATTTTATTTTAATATATTTCACTTCTTGCAGACATTCATTGAATATAAAAGAAAGAAATAAAATTTTGTACTAAAATTATTTAGCGACATCTATTTTTTTAGTACATAACCTAATTTATTACAATTATATTTACAACGTATATACCTACATATCTATTTTGTGCATTTACAAAAAATGACAACTACTTTCATATTGAATTTTGACATTTTATTTTTTAATGTTTCCCATATTATTTTGACTTTTCTTGAAAACAAAACAACAAAAAAAAATTTAAATATGGCGGTGACAAGACGCATCATATTACCAACATAAAAAAATTGAATATATTACAAAATGTTGACAGTTCGGTCTGCCACAACATCACGCAAGTAAGATTTAATTTTTTCCGCATAAAATAAATTTGTTAAAATATAAAAAAAAAAGAAAATCGGGTTAAATTAATATTAAAAATAAAATAATATTATGTGAAAAATTAAATGAACATTTTAAAATAATTTTTTTTTTTTAGTTTTTAGTGTGCAATTTATATATGGTGTGAATTGTTTAATATTGTAAAGTGAAAAAAAAATTGTGAAAAGAAAAGTTCCATATATATATTATATATATATATATATGTAGGAATATATATATGGCAAAGTGTATATGTATATGAGGAAACCCATTGTCATGGTTTTTACAAAATTATATATAAATGTATTTATATACCTATAATTAATATATAAAATGAGAAAATAAAAAAAAAAATGCAGCACTAAATGTGAAAAAAATTATTAAGTATTTTTTTCGAAAAAAAGAAAAAAAAATATAAAATATAAAAAAAAACAATAATCGTAAAAAAATTAAAAATAAAATAAATTTATTAAAAATTTCAATTTAAAAAAATTAAAATATATATATATAGTAATTAAATATTAGATAAAATAAGAAACCACCACATTCTGGATAAATATATCGATATATATGTGTAATCATATATATACATATGATTTTTTTTTTAATGAATGAAATGTAAATTTTTTGCATATCGGTTTGCCCTGAATTTGGATGCGAAATTTTGGGCACCGAATTAATTTTTCTTATAGAAAATCAAAACGCCAATGAATTCTCGACGGCAGTCATTGGATCGACCAGGTGCGCTTAAACAAAACATATTTGATTTTAATAATTAATTTATTTTTTTTTTTGCAATTTATACTTATTAATTATATATTTTTTACTTAGTTTATTTAATACTTGTATTAAGGCTAAAAATATACCCTATAAAATAATGTTGTCTTTTTTTTTTTATATATGAAAATCAAAAATTTTTATTTTTTTTTTGCAATTTATACATCTCTCTAACTACAACTACATGCATGCATTTGTATACATTGTATGTATGATAAGTCTATGGCCAGTGTGTATATGACAATCATGTATAATGCAATTTTCTATATTCACACAAAAATAAATGAAAAATAATAATATTATTTTTGATTTCGACAATCAAAATAAAAATGAATCAAATTTTGAATAAAAATAAACACAAATCCCTAATAATATGTTATAATAATATTTTAATTAAATTGAAGCGAAATATTTATAAAAAAAATTAAAAAAAAAAATTTGTATGTAATATTGAAATTGAAAGAAGTCAAAGCGAGAGTAACATGAAAAAAAAAGGAAACGAGAAGATACCTTGCGCTGTGCTAAAAATAAAACGCATATATTTTAATATAAATTTAATTTTGATAGTAGTAGTGTTAACATATATCTGCACTCCTCACTCATTTCATATACATATTATAATATATTGTGTGGTATAGATTCTTCTTGTGTGCATATTTATTTTTTTTACAATTGTATTTATGCATATAAATGTATATTTTATTAAAAAAAAATATTTTCTCATATGAATTTTGGAAATCTTTGAAAATATTGTTAAAAAATCAAAAAGAAAAAAACAAAAAATAACAAATGAAAGTTGGACTTGGTGGATTTCTATTTCAATTTAGATTTCCTATCATTGGCATTTTTGTTTTTATCTTCCTTTTATTTTCAATTATTAATAAATTACGAAAATTTTTATTAAAATTTTTACAAAAAAAAAAATTTATTTTATTTTTATACGTCATATTTTTTATAGTGACAACTCGCACACACATATACAAAATACCATACATATGCATATATATTATGCATACATATTTTGTATGTTTGTATAAATGATACATATATGCATATAAATTTTTTTATTTAAAAATATTTCCAATAATTTAAATTCCATTAAAAAAAAAATATATATTTTTTTTTTCATAAATATTTTTACTATTTTAATTTAAATCAATCAATTTCAAATTTGAATTTGAACTCATTTCTTTTAGATCAAAATACAAGTGATAAAAGAGAAGAGAGATAAAAAGAAAATTAAAAATATTAATAAAATTCTTGCACAATATAGAAAGTGTCGCCATTATACACACAATATTTTTATAAGTGCTAAAAAAAATAATAAAATTAAAATAAAAACCAAAAATATATACATATATATACTTACATACATATATTTAATTTCTTTCTTTACCTGTGCTCTCCCAAAACACAACACACATTGGATATTATTACATTTTATTATACATACTTATACTTATCTACTATACAATTAAGAAGAAAATGAAACATCAAAGAGCAGCACACTACACTAGAGTACTTAAATTGTATATCTACAAAAAATCTAGTTAAAAAATTTAATAGAGTATATCGTTTTTTTTTTAACATATTACATGTCCATTTCGGATAAAAGGTCCAAATCATATATTGATACAATACATATCTTAAAAAAAAAAAAAAAAGAAAAACAAATCTGTGTATTGCATATGTATGTAGCTATAGTATATGCGAGTAAATAGATTAGTGGGTACACGTATATATGTATGTATGACTAAAAAATTTTATTTTGACTTTTTAGATACATTTTGAGATAGAAACGTACATTTTCGTATTGTATACAAGTTAACATTATAAAATATGCATGGTGTCGTGCGTTCGCTTTATTTCTCATTATGCTCGTTCAATCATATTATCTCTTCTATACTATATTAGATAGGTGGCTAAGTTAGTCAATCTCATTTTCTAATCAAAAAAGAAACCAAAGAATAATTTTTATTAAAAGATGCTTGGATGTTTGTTTTTCGACTTGATTTTTTAATTTATCCAAAAAATTTTTTCTTTATTTTATTTGCTATGACTTACGAATTACGACGGCTACCCTTCTTTTAAAAATTTAATTTTTTTTGTAAAATTGAGAAAAATTTCTCTCTTCTTTTTTTTAAAAATTCTCTTTTTGAGATTTTTGTGTTTCATATATTTTGAAATTTAAATAAAAAAGAAGAAGGCAAGGTAAACATTTCAAATTCAAATGTCAAATTCAGCAATAACACTGAAAATATAGTGAAATACCCTACAAAAATAGAAAGAAAAAAAAACAAAAAATGGAAAACAAAACAAAATTAAAAAGCATGTAAACTTGGTTTTTGTGAATTTTCTGTGACGTCGTTCTCTTCATCGTTTATTCATTCGTGAGTTTTTTTTTCTTGTTTTCTCTACTTTACGTTTTATTTTTTTTTGTTTTTTATTCAATGTTCATCGTTCTCTATCTCTATTTAATTTTTTTTTTTGTGTTTTTTGGTGTTAATGTACTCTAATATTTCTAAAGTTACCTAACGATTAATGCGAACGATTGATGCTCATTTTTAAAAAGGGAAAATTTTTTTTTTTTAAATCCTAAAAAAATTATTTTGTAAGCATTTTTTTTTGTGTGTGCGTTTGTTTGTTTGTGTGTGGAAATTGTAATTATGTGGATTTGGACATGTATGATGGCGTATATGAATGTATGGATATGATGTCTATCTGCACTTGTTTTGTGGTAATCAAAAATAAAAATTACAATAGGATATTTTTATTAAACATTCAAAAAATTAATTTCATCATGCGTCGTAAATTTGATTTATTTTTTTTTGTTTTGTTATACATATGCAAGTATATCACTATGGTAGATATGATGTGTGTATAATAAAATTAAAAATAACATTATTATTCCAAATCAATATTAAATTAAAATTAACAATATTAGTTATTTATAGCTTCGCAAATATGTACATATGTATGTATATACATATGTGTCTATACTTATTAAGGTTTATGAGATTTAATGGTTCTATAAAAATATGAAAAAAGCTATGAGTATGCTTTGTGAATATTTTGTTAAACCTTGATAAGTTCCTATAAGGATGTAGATATTTATATATGTATCTAGGAAATTACCTATCTATACCTACATATGTCCTATATGCAATTGTGTACAAGTGACATTGCAAAAATTTGAATATAAACTGCAGTTCGATAATATTATTGACCAATTGATTGTGTATATCAAGGTATTTTATAAATTTAATTATATTATGTTTCTTTAAAGGGAGATATATCTTATCTACAGAGTGCAAATATGCACATAAGAATTATAAACATTTTTGCACGGAAAACTAATTAGAATCTTACATGCATATACTACAAAATCTAAGATTTGATCTGATGAAAGTCGTATACTTACACATGTAAACACTTTTTGACATCAAAATTTGTCTGACGGCAAATAATGGAAGTTACTGTGTCTTCGTCAGATATACTCTCAGGTTTTTTAATAGTAGCGACAATCCAGTTTTTGTTTGAGAGCTTGGAAAAACGAACAGATGATTTTTATTTTGGTTTTAATTTTCGCAGAAAAATTATTAAATTTTGATGTAAAGTTGGAACTCTATGAGAAAATTTCAATCTGATACGTTTACAGCGTATCAAATTTTGTTTATTGTAAATATATTTTTAGATTTTGTAATACTTATACATATTTATGTAAACAGTATTTAAAAAAATTATTAAAATTAAAAATTCAACCGAAATGTTCTTTAACTAGCACAAGAACAAATGGTTTATGGCTTTTTTTTTTCAAATTTTTGAACCATGCTTTTAAGATAGAATTTAAAATAAATTAAAATTTAAATTCGAGAATTTTTTAAAATTTGATAAAATTTTTGCTGAACAGTTAAAATTTAACAAATAAAATTTAAATTAATCAACATCTGCACATATACAATGTGCCAATTGTATGAAGCTGTGCACCGTCGCATTTATAATTCACTCCGAAAAAAATTATGCGTGATTCAATGTGTCATTAAGTTAGGAGTGTTATTTAAGTAAATGTTATTAAGTTTAAATCAAATATTGTATAAAACTACTTCTTATACCCAAACGTATATGTATAACAGTAGAATAAAGTAATGTACATACATTTTGATAAAAATTCATTAGCATAATACTTACTGTCCCTTGATAATTAAACTACTATTAATTTCAGTTAAGTTTATTTATTATTTAAATCTCTATTGGTATATGAATTCAGAATTCAATTTCCAAAAGTAATTCAATTCTCATAAACATTTAGTGAAATTATTTTCAGTTTTACCCATTTTCTATTTTGAAATTTTTCCATAAATTATTTGAAATTTTTTAAATAAATAAGATCTTACTATAAAAATTTGGAGATTAATTTCTTAAAACTTTTAATTTTTAATATAAATTTTAATGAATTATTCATTATTTTTATGTATCCTTGCAAAATGAAAAAGGAAGAAGATCAGGAAATTTCAAAAAATTTATTTTGTCAAATGCATATTTTTTGTTCGGTTTCCAAGAATACATTTTATTTACTATCTGAATTACTAATGTATACATACCTACTACTACACTACCTACTTTTACAGATTTATGTTCAACTAATATAAGTAAACATTTCCATTTTTCCAGAAGAGAAAATCTACCAATAATATTTTTAAAAATTTTCAACAAGTAAGAAAATTACTACCACATTTTTAAATTGACTGAATTTTTAACTATACAATTTTATACGAGTACTTAGTTACCAACTTATAGTATAACAATACTCCTATAGTATAACTATTCCTATAGTTAGTATAACTGATAGTGATGTAATAAACTATAAAATATAAAATGAGTGCAGGGAGTATATAGGGAACAACAAATTGTGAAATTATAATTTTAAAACTAAAGTACTGAAGTATAGATGTATTATACTAAAA